GGATTGGTGAAATCCACTGTTCAAGTTTACTGCTGAACAAGAGTGAAGAGCTGATGCACACACAAGCACTCTGGGATTTTGTGCTGCTTGAAATACACAAATGAACTTTTGATAGTATTTGAGAAATTTTTCAGGATGAAGTGTGTGTGTCAGGCTTGGGGAGGTGACTGAGGGGCAGATTTTTCGTTAAGATTTCCCTTCACTGCTCTTCGGTGTCAGGCTTGGGGAGGTGACTGAGGGGCAGATTTTCATTAAGATTTCCCTTCATTGCTCTTCTGACATTGCAGATCTATACAGAAATGTGATCATTCCATTTTTCTGAACTGAGTGAAGGATAGAATAAGAATGGGATGAGATAGGGTGTAAGAATATCAGATATGTAATATATGTTGCCACACTCCTCCTGTCCATTACTGACAGAATGGGGAGGTGACTGAGGGGCAGATTTTCATTAAGATTTCCCTTCATTGCTCTTCTGACATTGCAGATCTATACAGAAATGTGATCATTCCATTTTTCTGAACTGAGTGAAGGATAGAATAAGAATGGGATGAGATAGGGTGTAAGAATATCAGATATGTAATATATGTTGCCACACTCCTCCTGTCCATTACTGACAGAAACTTGTCTTCGTGCAGATGTATGGAAGGAAATGTGAAAGATTTTAATTGCTGCAGCTAACAAAATATACATTATTTCAATTGCTTTCAATTAATTACTCTCCCAGATGAAAAGTGCTAAGTGGCATAAATTTTAGAGGCAGTGTATAATGTCAGCATCAGAATCTCATCGGAGCAGGGCATCAATCTTCAGTATTTCAACACAGCCATCTGTCCTCCTGCCTTTCATCTCACATATTGCTTTTCTCTTACATTTTCTTTTCCTATGGCAGACACAAAGTAGATTTCATTTCTTGTTTAGAAGTACTCAGTTTATCCTCTCCAAATATTTTTTAAATCCATTAAAAAAATCATCAATCAATTTTGTACCAGCTTCACTGGAAATCTGAATTGAACACTTCCTTTGCTTTCAAGATAATATTAATTTGAGACACTGATTGGTTTCTGGTCTGTAAGTCAGTGTAAAAATACAAAATTCTTACTGAAACCTACCTCTTTGCTGAATTGTAAGAGTCCATTCTATTCTTCTTTTATAATTGCATCATTGGTTATAAGGTGGCTCCTAAGAAAAAGAAGCCTTGCTGACAGAAAATAAATGGCTTCACTTTAAATTAACTTTGGGCAATTATTAGAGGCCCATGACAAAAAGTGGTGGGTCCTTTTCCCTTTCTTCCCTTTCAATATGAGAAAATTTACAAAACATTTCTGTTCAAAATTCCATCAATACATTCAAACACACACAGATAGCACTGATCTATCTGAACCTCTCCCACAGTTTTCAACTTAAGCCACTTTTTTTCACTTTTCCTCAGAAAAGTTACTGTTCAGCAGAAAATAAGATGGCCTACAGCTAGCAACCTCAAAAAAAGTCATAGACTGTAGTGCTGGAAACCATGTTCAGATCCTAACAACGATGTCAAAGGAAGAGTCTCCAAGAACACACTTGGAGACCTTCTCTTGCAACAACAGTGGGAAGTTACTCCAGTCTCTACCCTTCAGTGTAATCTCCTCCATTTTTACCTCAGAAGTAAGACAAATGTTATAAATTCTGCCTCTACTGCAAGATGTATGTAAATACACTTATTTTAGCCTTTGTGTTCCTGTAGGAAGTCAAATATCCTACACAGGTACCAGCAATGATGTAGACAGGCAGAATGTAAGACCCATGAAAAAGTTTGACCTCACTTTCCAAGGAGTATCACAACTGCTAGTTTCTTCATTTTTTCTTACTGGCCTTCAATAAGAACCTCAAGGAGTATCACAACTGCTAGTTTCTTTCATTTTTTCTTACTGGCCTTCAACAAGAACTAACTTTTTGAATGTGTATCATAAATTATCCTTCTGTGTCCTGACATGTAGCTCCTGCATCCTGGTCATGTAGGATCACAAGTGCTTTTCTCTCAACATCTTTGCTTAAAATAGTGAACACAAGGATGCTTCAGTCCCATGAAAAAAATACTAGTCCTGTTTTCCTGCTTTCCACTGAAAGGAAGCAAGAGTTACAACTCTCCAGCTGCAGCTCAGAGGATTTCCTCAAAGTGTTCTAATTCCAGAGAAAGAAACATATTTTTTCCTCCTAAAACCAGATGACAAAACTAAGGAATTGGTTAAAATATCCAGCTTGCTTTCTTATGGTTTGGTTTGAGTTTGGTGGGGGTTTTGTTGTGATTTTTTTTATTTGTTTGGCTTTTTTTTATTGGATTGGAGGTAGGGGTTTATTGGAGGTAGGGGTTTTTCTATCTTCTTATTAGTCTTCACAGAGTACAAAGGTGAAGAATGCATTAGGCATTTCCTGAGCTGCTTCAGTAGCTGAAGGAGCTTTGTATCTCCCAGTATTAATCAAGTTACTTTTGGTTTTATCTGTTAAAGATGTACTATTTCTACAGCTTTTGGGAGGTTGCACAAGGGTAGGGGTTTATTGGAGGTAGGGGTTTTTCTATCTTCTTATTAGTCTTCACAGAGTACAAAGGTGAAGAATGCATTAGGCATTTCCTGAGCTGCTTCAGTAGCTGAAGGAGCTTTGTATCTCCCAGTATTAATCAAGTTACTTTTGGTTTTATCTGTTAAAGATGTACTATTTCTACAGCTTTTGGGAGGTTGCACAAGGCAGTGAATTGATACCTTGTCAGCACTTTCTAGGACTGTCAACCACTTACATACTCATATACACATGCAGAAGTTGAAATTAAACAGACTCTCACTAGGAAGGGAAAATCTCACCTCAGACATGACAAGAAACCACAGAAAGCTGTAATATTTGGAGATGACATTTGAGTCTGTTGTTTTATTTCTGGAAAAACAGTTCATGTTTATGTTATGTGGCTTCGTATCACTACAACTGATACACATCTATTCCCTAATTCATCATCTGGAAAGGTCAATTAAAAAGAATAGCACAAAGTGGTAGATTTAGTTTCTATCAGCAATGTAGCAAGCAAGTAGTAACTAATCAGAAGTACATCTTAAAATGAAATTAGAAATTAATCTAGTAGATTAAATCTTAATAGATTAAAACTCAGCTCGTCCTTATATGCTGCCATGTGATACTGTTTCTACTTACTTTTTCCTGCTAGTTTTCCCTTTTCATTCGAGACCCCTTGGTCAAACTCCTTTCTCATTTATACCAGTGTAAATCTGAAATAAATCCTTTACATTTAATTGAATTATTCTTGATTTACTTTAGTGAGCCTGAGAACAGAATATGACCTTTTTCTTTAGCAGTAGCCAAACCATCCTTCTTAATTTTGAAACCACACTGAATGAAGCTTAGGCAGAAAAGAGTCTCCAAAGTTTGAGTAGTTTTCTTATTAGGAAAAGATATACATTAAAGAAGATAGTGTTCTGCCTTCCTGCTTTGTAGGAAGGTGCTGCATTGAAAGGCCTGGGATTTTAAATTACCTGCCAAACAGAATTTAACTCTGAATGCTTCAAAAGTAATCTGATCCTGCAAAAGGAGGAAAAGGAACTGGTTGCTTCATATATTGTATCTTCTCAACAATGATCCCTGAGGAAGACTTTGTGCTGTACTGCAGACAGCTGTGTGCTTTGCTGGTGACAAGATTCAGTGGCAGCCCAAGATTTCTTTAGTGACTTCTGCCCAACAGTGCCATGAGTCCCAGCAAAGCTTCATGGCTATGGTTACCAACACTGCTTCTCAGCAGCATGCAAGACCATTAGTGACTGAAAAGCTATCAAAATGGAGTGTGATGTGGACAGACAATCAAATGCATTGTTTATTTTCTGTAGAAAGATCATAAAGTAAAATTGTTTAGATTTTTGAACTGTTGGTGAAAATACAGGCTGTAACTTCATTGTGTCTCCTCCCGTTTTCCCACAATGTTTCTGACAGGCTGTAACTTCATTGTGTCTCCTCTTGTTTTCCCACAATGTTTCTATATAGGTTGTTTCTAGCCCTAGTTCCAAGCAGATTGTAACTGTTGTCAGTAAAAAAAAAATAAATATGTCTCAGCATATTTGGCAGATAAAATTTTCAATAGGAATAGTCATTTTTAGGTGAGCTTTTTCTGTTCAATGACTCTATGTAGGAGTTTCCCTATTATCCTGAAAGCTATTCACTTTGACATAATCTCAGAGTGGACACCCAAAGTCTGAGCCTTCCCTTAAAGAATATACAGATTGTTTAAAGCAGTCTTCATTCATAAAGGCATCATAATAATACAGGAATTGGTTTGTCTGTCCTAGAAAAGAACTTTTTCTCTGTTTATTAGCTGTTTTTAAAGTAGGCACCAAGGATCCTCATGAAAAGTGGTTAGTACTTCTTTAGGCACTTGTACACAAAGTTTTTAAGAGTTTGAATGAAAAGGTTGCTTCTCTTTGTACCATCAAAGTAAACTATTCAAGTTGAAATTTTGGCACTTGAAATAGAAAGTCATTATTTTGATGGTCCTGCGTAAGTATGCCAGAATTTTGTCTTAAATAATTTTTTAGGTAGTTTCTGTCAACTCTGCTACACATTCTCCCATGGCATAGAGTATGTTAGCAAATTCCTTTGCAGAACTAGGAAGGAAGAGCATTGGGCAGATCCTTTAGGGGGTGGTACATCCTCTAGGGGATGGTGGATCAGCAGGTCTTTATGTGACAAACCCACTGATCAGCTGTTTTAGTCAGGAGCTATTTCAGCCTCTTCATTGCTAAGACTAGTGGTAATTATTTAAGTCTTTGAGAACAGACATCAACCACAAATTTAGAAAGAGGGAT